GAAATTAAAGTCCCGAGCACAGGGGCCAGGATCCGTCTGTAAAAGAAAGAGGAATACCTCTTCCTCTTAAATACAGGGGCCTAACTTAGAATGGTAAGGATATAAGGACATTTAGAGAAAGGGGTGAGTCTGCCGAGAGATTTCAGACCCAAAATGGCTTCTATTTGGGGTGGGAGGGCAGGTAGTAAGAGTTGGCACCATCTGCTAACAGAGGGTAGGGTTAGGGCTGATTTTCTTCAACAGTTGTTGCCAGAAATACATTGCAAAAGACCCTTCATGACTGTTCTCCTGAAGTCTTTCTATATTTCCATCTGGCTTCAAACCTTCATGTGGTAGCTTTATTGATTTCAAATTCCAAATCCTCCTAATACTAAATTCTTTTATTTTCTCCATGTGCCATTAACTCATTTTGTAGCATCCCAGGGCTATGAAGCATCCCAGGGCTATGAGCTCATTAATGTGCTCCAAGTTCAAATAAAATTTAAATTTAACAAGGCTTTATGGCTTTCCTAATTTTACTCAATTAGATGACATTAAAGAAAAACAAAACATCTTTAATTTATCTCAAAGGACCTAACCAAGGAAAACATTTCCTCATCTTTGTGATTGTAATGGAAGAAAATATGAACTAGTAAATGTTGTAAGGTAGGTAAAATTTCTACTCTATTGGTCATAAAAGTATGATTAATTCAGTCTTACATTGGTGAAATGTCTTTTTTATCATTCATGTTCCCCAACTGACACTAGACCCTTTCATTTGTTATCACTTTAAAGCTCAGTCAGGAATACAAGACCATAAACTAGAGAATACAAGATCTACAGCTAGGTTATTCGTCTCTTTGTCCTAAAGTCTGGGCTTCTTTTGGCTTAGGCCCCTGAAATATCAGAAGCAAGCAGCATTTTTGTTGCTCAGTTGTGTCTGATTTTTTGCAACCCCATGGACTCCAGCACATCAGGTTTCCCTGCCCTTCACTATCTCCTGGAGATTGCTCAAATTAATGTACATGAGATGATAACCACCCACTTCTCTTACCCCCAATCTTTCCCAGCATCAGGGTCTTTTCCATTGAGTCAACTCTTCGCATCAGGTGGCCAAAGTTGGAGCTTCAGCTTCACCATCAGTCCTTCCAATGAATATTCAGGGTTGATTTCCTTTAGGATTGGCTGGTCTGACCTTGCAGTCCAAGAGACTCTCAAGAGTCTTCTCTGGCACCACAGCTCGAAGGCATCAATTGTTCAGCACTCAGCCATTTTTATGACTCAAATTTTACATCCATAGATGACTACTGGGTAAACCATAGCTTTGACTATAGGGTCCTTTGTTGGCAAAGTGATGTCTTTGTTCTTTAATATGCTGTCCAGGTTTGTCATAACTTTCCTTCCAAGGAGCAANGCCAAAGGAGACATGAATAATGTATTGGATATCTCAGAATATAAGGAATCATTATCATTGATACTAATTAATGACTTGAGTAAACCCAATGTTACATTTTAAAAAAATGAATAAAGTTCCGTTATGGTCTTCATAAAATGACAATTCAGGGAGATCCGTTTCAGTGAATGATGCAGCACCTATTTCCTCCTGAAGAGTTGAAAACCAGATGAGAGATTCAGCATTTATTAACACTCAGTGTATATTGACTACATGCTGACGGCAGGAGCAAGCGCGGCTCATCCGGACTCTGTATTATTGCCAAATGGTACCTTGTCGCTGGGAGTTATTCCTCTTAAGATCTCTTTATATTGGTTTATCTATTGCTAAGAAGAGATACATTTCAAGGAAAGTATTGGAGCTAAGCAGTGTTGTCATTTGAGGCTTTTAGTTTTTTTGGGGGATAACAACAATGGAATCAGGAGTACTTGGTTTCCTGAATCCACAGACTTTGCTTTCTCCACAGTTGCAATCACTTGACCCCTGACCAAAGAGCTAAATTCTGTTTCAGCTTCTGGAGTTGACTTTAACTTTTATCAGGATACTTTTGACCCGTCTTTGGTTGATTTAGCGCCCTCAATCTAACTGAGAGTGGTTCTGACTGGTGCTATACTTCTAATCATTGACGTTCTGCTTCCTTGCTCAGCTGTTAATTGCAGGATTCTATTATAGAGAATAGATTACCTGGGTTTGAATTTCCATTTCACCACTATTCTTGCCTTATGGCCCTGGGGAAGTTATTTGACATCTCTAAACCTCACATTATCTCTCAAATGTTGTTAGAGATAGACCTTTATTCATTAAGATAATAGGTCTATCTTCTGCTATGGAGGTGTTAGGTTAACACTAGCTTTTGCCTGGCAAACAGAATGCAGTTCCCTGTTTTCTGCCCTTTCTCCCAAGTTCCTGACTCCATCGACCCCTCATGACACAAGCTCTCCCGGGCTGAATCACTTCTTTGCTTTAGGTAAACACTTCAGGGACTAGCGTTCTGTGACGAGCTGTTGGATCGCTTTATGATGGGCGCAGTCTGCCCACACGGTGCTGTGTGTGTGTATTTAGTTTTACTGAAGTGCAGCTGATTCACAATGCTGACTTCGCTTCTGCTATAGAGCAAAGTGGACCAGTTACACACGTGCACGTGTCTGCTCTTTCTTTAAGATCCGTCTCCAGGAGGCCGTCACAGAGCACTTAGTTATCCTTACTAGTGATCTGTTTTACACACAGTGTGTGCATCTATCAATCCCGGCCTCTCCGTTTATCCCTAACCCTCTTTTGCCCTTGGTAAGCTCAGGCTTTTATTTTTTTAAACATCTGTGACTCTATTTCTGTTTTTTTTTCTATTTTTTAATTTAAATATTAAAAATGTGTTTACCAGTTGGGTTTGTTTTTTGCCTTCTTGCTTGTTAGTTGGTTTCGTTGTTTTCGGCTTTTTTGCTTGTTTGGCCGTTGGCCCCGCGGGTTTCCCGTTCCTTGGGTTTTTCGGGTTGGGACCCTTGGGGGGGTTTCCGGGGCCTTCCCCAGAGGATCTCCCCTACCCAGGGATCGAACCTGCCTCTTACTCTCCCGCATTGGCAGAGGCTTCTTTACCACTAGCGCCACCGGGGAAGCCGGGTTTCTGCCATACAGCAATGCAAACGAGCCGTGGCTATATACACCTGCCCACCCTCCCTCGCCTCCGGCCCCTTCCCACACCCCATGCCTCCGCACCGGCACGCAGCACCAGGCTGGGCTCCCTGTGCCAGGCGGCAGCTTCTCACAAGCTACCGTCCTACGCCTGACAGTGTATGTATGCTGATGCCACTTTCTCCGCCGGTCCCCCTCTCTCCCTCCCCCCTGTGTCTCTAAGTCCGTTTCCTACATCTGCATCTCCAGTCCTTCCCTGTAAATAGGTCCATCAATGCTAAATTTTAGATTTCATATATATGCGTTAATATCCGTATTTGTTTTTCTTTTTCTGACTTACTTCACTCTGTATAACAGGCTCTAGCTTCATCCACCTCACTAGAACTGACTCAAATTCTTTCTTTTTATGGCTGAGTATATATGTACATAATTCCATTGCATATATCTACTACGTCTTCTTTATCCATTCATCTGTCAAGAGGCATCTAGGTTGCTTGCATGTCCTGGCTATTGTAAATAGTGTTGCTATGAACATTGGGGGTACATATGTCTTTTTTGATTACGGTTTCTTCAGGGTATATACGCGCAATAGTGGGGCTGCTGGTTCATATGGTAGATTATTCCAAGTTTTTTAAGGATCTTCATACTGTTCTCCAAATGGCTGTATCACTTCACATTCCCACCAACAGTGTAGGAGGGTTCCCTTTTATCTACATCTTCTCTGGCATTTATTGTTTTGATATATTTTTTTGATGATGGTAATTCTGTACAATCCTACATATTAACTGGTTTTCAGGTCCCAGTTACCATGCCTCATCCATCTACCCAGACAACTGATTGCATCTTACTGAGTTGCCTCAATGATTATCATATGCCTGGGTCACTACCTATTGCCTGACATCATATCTTATGATAACTTTCATCTCTGATTGTTTGGGCCTCCTCAATCCTTGCCCCACAAAAGTTATGGTTAATTCTGCCTCATTTATNGCTTCCTCATCCATTCATCTGCTGATGGGCATCTAGGTTGCTTCCATGTCCTGGCTATTATAAACAGTGCTGCGATGAACATTGGGGTGCACGTGTCTCTTTCAGATCTGGTTTCCTCGGTGTGTATGCCCAGAAGTGGGATTGCTGGGTCATATGGCAGTTCTATTTCCAGCTTTTTAAGAAATCTCCACACTGTTTTCCATAGTGGCTGTGTCAATTTGCATTCCCACCAACAGTGAAAGAGGGTTCCCTTTTCTCCACACCCTCTCCAGCATTTATTGCTTGTAGACTTTTGGATAGTGGAAAGCATTTTAAATGATCTAAATAAATATCTATCTATTCTTACATTACATTAAGTGGTATTACAATGCCCTGAATTACCTACTGCACTTTCGCTGCCCTTGAAAACCAGGAAATGGCCTTGGCCGTGTATTCACAACAAATGGGATCAAATGTCTGCATGTTGATGACTGAGAAACAATGAAACAAAGATAATCAATCAGATTAAATCTTAGTGACTAAAATATGCCAATTGTTGATCAATGAAAAACAGCCCAAGAGGACAAACCTAAACTACAAGCCACAAGATGAGAAATGGACAAAACCGTTTACATCTCATTCTTCCATGAAGAAAGCCTTTACCATAGTGCTTTTCTAGACCACAAGTTACAGTCCTCAGGCAGACAGACTATAGAACCAACACAGTCTCACAAAGTCTTTTCAAACCAAACATTTCCCCTCTCTTGACATAGCTTGGGTATTGGAAGGTCTTGGAAGAAGCTTGATTCTGAGAAGGAGAAAGCATGAATTTCTAAATTGTCCAGCTAAAAGGAGTGGACTTTCCTTAATGATTCAAAAAAATAACTGCCAATACAGAGGAAAGTGTTACTAGACTGTGAGCCCTCTGAAAAGTTGGCAGGCAGTGTAGCTGAAAATAGCGCGGTGCCAATTACTCAGTGCAAGGTTGCACTTCATTAGGTCAAGCAAACATCCCTCTTTGTTGTCCCCCTGTCCAAAGTCAACTCACAACTTTCAATCTCCAGGGTGCAGTTTTGTTCATCCAGAGGATATCTTCGTAGATCCATCATACACGCAGCTGTGGTTGTGATCCTGTCAGGGTGAGAGAGAGAAAAGAACATTGTAAAGATGCTGACTCTCATTTCCAGGCTTTCTAACCCTGAATCATGCCTACTAGATGACATCAACACTCTGATTAAAGATTTTAAAGATGGCAATGCTACTTTCTTAATTTGTTCCACCCTCTCCCTCCCATTCTGTATCCAAAAGTCCATTCTCTAAATCTGCATCTCCATTCATTCCCTGGGATAGGTTCATCAGTACCATTTTTCTAGATTTCATATATATGCTAGTAGAAGTTTCTATATAACACAGGAAGCCCAGCCTGGTGATTTGTCACAACCTAGAGGGGTGGGATGAGGATGGGGTGGGAGGGAGGCTCAAGAGGCAGGAGATCTCTCTCTCTCTCTCTCTGCATATATATATGTAGTTATGACTGATTTGTGTTGTTTTATGGCAGAAACCAACACAGAATTGTAAAGCAATTATCCTCCAATTAAAAATTAAAAAAAGAAATGTAGTAAAATGATCTGAAAAAATAAAAGTAAATAAAAGATAAAAGTTGAAGACAGGCAGATTGAATTTGAGTCTTTCTTTGCTGCTCACTAGCCATGTGAGGTTGGGCTAGTTAATATATCTCCAGGAGCCTCAGTCCACCCATCAATAAAAAAACCTACTGCATAGAATGGCTGTGAGGATTAAAAGAGATAACGGCTACGAAGCTCTTAACCCAGTGCTTCATACTTAGTAAGTGCCCCATGAAGGATGGACGTTATCATACCTATAAATTATCCCACAGCCCTTCCTATATTCACTAGCATCCTAGCAATGTCTTTGTCACTATCTGCAGCAGAACATCTATGTTATGCATCAAAGCCTACCTCCCTTTCCTGCTACAACCTAATGATAAAACAGCAAAAGCAACAAAACCAACAAAATTTGTCTTTCATGACTTTTAATGCCTCGAACTCCCCACTATTAGAGAGATTTGTTAGATTCGTCTCCGAGTCCTTGGCCCATAGTGTATAGCCAGTAAACAAATACTATCCTAGTGCTTACACCCTACTTGTCAACTACAGTTTGGCTTATGTATTTATGCAAACCCAGGGATCCTGACTCGAGATATCCTACCTGGGCTTCCACGATCCCTCCATTTTCTTATGGCCTGGCTGGTTTCATGGACTGTGCTGAGTGTTTGAGAGGAACTTAAATCTTGTGGCTAGTCCATTCACACAAACATTTGATATCGCTTTGGGATTGACAAGATACTTTTCTTAAAAAAGCGAATTACCTTGTCCTCTTTCACAAAATAATGTGTAATAATATTTTTTTTTTATTCAAAATTCAAATTTAATAACAAGCTTCCTTTTTACCTTAAGGCCCAGGAGCTACAGCATTGGAAAATTCCCAAATATATATAGAAGTCCAACTGTATCTTCCTGTGGGGGAACTTTTTTGTTAGAAGACTACTGCACACCCTGTTCTGAACCTAGCTTGTTTTCATTGATGAAAAATTTTGGATTTGGTTCTATATTAGTAAATAATAAGCCATTTGTGAAAAATTTACTACAATGTATTGAGTTGTGTGGAAATACCATCATTTATTTTCCTTATCACCCTCTAGTGGGTATTTATGTTATTTAATATTATTTACTTTTATAAATAAAGATGCTCTGAATATACTGGTATACTCTACAATCCTTGAGTATGTTGACCTGCTATTTCCAGAAAGGGAATTGTTAGAAAAAAAGGTATATGCATTTTAAATTTTGCAACATTGCTGCTCAACAGTGTGTGTAAATTTGACAAAGTTCTTTTCATACCTATGCTTTGTGAAGCTGTCAAGGCAAGTTATTGTTTTGGTGACTTGTGTTAAACTAACAGGCACCTTCTTCCTATAAACAGTATTAGGCATAAACCTTAGACCTTCCTAATTTTTCTTTGGGTTTCTTTGTGAAAGTTAAAAGTAAATATCTCTTTTTAAACCTCTCTTAGATAAGATGTTGGTCAGTTATTCAGATTTATTTGAGTATTAGGCAAGAGTAAAAGGAATTTTCAAGTTTAATTTAAAGAATTTCAAATGTTCTACAAAAGTTTAAAGATTGGTTGTATTCTAGAATTAGCACATAAAGGGTTTTACTAGATTAGTTTTAGGGCTTCCCTGGTAGCTCAGATGGTAAAACATCTGCCTACAGTGCAGGAGACCTGGGTTCGACCCCTGGGTCGGGAAGGAAATGGCATCCACTCCAGTATCTTTGCCTGGAAAGTCCCATGGACTGAGGAGCCTGGTAGGTTACAGTCCATGGGGTTGCAAAAAGTTGGACATGACAGCGACTTCACTTCACTTAGATTACTTTTTGCTTTCTGCTACCATAATCGTGTGACTTGATTGATTTTTCTCATTTCACAATATATCACGAATAGCTTTCATTGTCTGAAAGTACAATGGCACCACATTCTTTTTCTGGTCTGCATAGTGGGGGCTTCCCCGGTGGCTCAGATGGTAGAGAATCTGGCTGCAATGCAGAAGACCGGGATTCGATCCCTGGGGCGGGAAGATCCCCTGGAGGAGGAAATGGCAGCCCGTTCCAGTATTCTTGCTTGGAGAACTCCGTGGACAGAGGAGCCTGGGGATATGGTTTACGGGTTGCAAAGAGTTGGACACGACTGAGAAACTAACATTAAGTATTTCAAACATCCTCAATAAGACAACACAATAAATATTTAAAAGCACTTAAAAACACCATCTCTCTACCATATTCTTTGTTTAACAGCTGCTTATGAATAAAAAGGATTGTGAAAATGTGAATGTTCTCTAGGAATTACTAAAGTGCGGCCATCCTTATGATCCTATGACTTAGCCAATTATTTTCAACCAGGAATTGTTTTTGCCAACAGGGGACATTTGACATCTGGACACAGCTTTGATTTTCAGGCTTGGGGTGGAGTGTTGATACTGGTATCCAGCGGGGGTATGACCAGGGATGCAGCTAAACATCCCACAGCGCACAGTACCTGCCCAACAATTAACCACGATCTGTTCCAAACGTCAGTAGTGCCACAGTGGAAAAACCCTGCTACAATGGTGCTTTCAAACATCTTTCCTCTAAGGAGACTTTTAACAAAATGGAAACTTACAGAGAACCTCAATATATAAAATACAAATGAAATAAGTGAAAGCCATATGTTGTTAATGCAGATTTGTTATATAAGTTCAAATGTTGACATCTATCTTAATGTGAGCACACATGAAAGCAGGAATTATGAGAATTATGGCCTTCAATCTTCCTCAGCATCAGTTATTTCTGTTTTTTATTTTATTTGTGTGATTTTGAGAAAATCCTTACAAATATGGAAACACTTGCCTCTAAAATCTTACATGACCAGTCATGGGCTACCCTGAATTCGTAGAAAAAAATATCCATTTGCTTTGTAACCACCTCTATAATCAATGACACCTGTGCAGATGTTTTAGATACATTCATAGGTGGTTGATCTCTAATAGATACTTAGCAACTGATTAAAAGGAGAGAGAGGGTGGGATGAACTGAGAAAGTAGCATTGACATATATACAGTATTGTGTGTAAAACAGGGAGCTAGTGCAAAGCTACTGCACATTACAAGGAGCTCAGCCTGGTGCTCTGTGATGATGGTCCAGGGGGTGGGACGGGAGGAGGGGAAGGGGGCTGAAGAGGGAGGGCAGATATGCATGTGCATATATGGTTTGTGGTGTTGTGTGCGGAAGCCAGCACAATATTGTAAAGCGATTTTCCTCCAATTACAAAAAAATGGAAACTTCACTTGGTGTCCCATGCTCCACGTAAGTGAACCTGGCGGCACAAGCTGATATTATGATGGTAAAACGTGGCATAGGACACATTACGGTGTATGTGCTTATAGTTTAAAATAAATATCAGATTTAAGTAAAATTGAAATAAGATATGTGTGGAACAAAGCAACTTTGGGGATACTTAAGAACACTGCATGAACCCCCTTGTCAGCTTTTCTAACTAATTGACCTCACTTTTCGATATGTCATATGGTTAGTTTACCACATCATATCAACATCAGGACATGCTGAACCACTGATTCACACATTGTAAGGCTGTGGAGGTTTTAAAAAGCAATTTGTAAAGCTAACAAGGCATTGTCGGTAAAATGAATAACATGTCTCATGCTTATGGGTACTACAGTTGTGAGTAATAAAAAACCGGCTTTTGGAAAGCATAATGGAATTGACCATTGCTATCTGTCATGATCAATCCATTCAGCTATCATATCATATCAATATCATATCATATCAATAAATGCGAGAAATTTTTTGATATCACATAGGAAATCNGAGTAATAAAAAAACCGGCTTTTGGAAAGCATAATGGAATTGACCATTGCTATCTGTCATGATCAATCCATTCAGCTATCATATCATATCAATATCATATCATATCAATAAATGCGAGAAATTTTTTGATATCACATAGGAAATCTGTATACCACACCAGAACTCTGCCTATAACCTGATGATTTTTCAGCTGTGATTGCTTGGGTGAGTTCATTTCTCTTGCCCCAAATCCTGTTAAGATACCAGAGAACTGAGTCATCACAATTCAGAAAGAGAGGTGATCAAGACAGCTTCCAGAAAGCGAACTGTGCAAAATTCCAGACTTCCTCTACAGAGCATAGACATTAGTGAAACAACTTCCTTCTTTGAATCTACATGTTCCAAATTTTGAATTCTCAAGAGGATTTCACTGGCTCAACTTGGATTATGTGCCAACACTCCCTAAATTATTGTTAAGGACAAGAAAGAAAGCTAGGCGCAAACAAATATTGTCACCAGGGACCAGAAGGGGTCTCTTACCTAAGAAGAGAGGAATTACTAAAACTCAGACAGGGACCCCTATATAAGCAGGTACTCATAAATTCATGTTGTGACCCATAGAAATTTGTGCCACAGAATGTCGATCTCTGCTAATTTAAGAGCTTGGTGTCTCTAGATTTTGTAATACATATGGCTAAGTGAGTTGACTAT